TCTCAGCCGTTACCGCCGTATCTTGAGACGGGGGATACATTCCCCCTGGCGAGGGAGCTGCAGCGCATTGATGAGGAGTTGTTGAGTATTCGACATGTGGAGGATCCGGCTTTCTCGGCGTTTGTTTGTCTGGAGGTTTTGAGGTCCGTGGTTAGTTGCTCGTTGGAGGATTTGCTGAGGTATGTGGTTGAACCCCCCCTCCCCCGTCTTTTTTTTTTTCTTTGTATACTTGATATGATGTGGACGTGCTTGCTAATGATGTATCTTGTTATAGAAATGTGAAAAGCTTGGTTGGGGAGTTGAGCTTTGATTTGCATGTTCGGGATGGGGGTGAGATGCAGCGGTTGATGGAGGAGGAGTAGGTGGTTGGTTTGGGGTGTGCAGATGGGATGTATATATTACTGTTCCTTGTATCAATATTGATAATAGCATGGTACTATACTCGTTTACCTAGGTTATGTGCTCAATTTAGTAGACAGAGACAGATTGATTAAAGGTCAACTATCTATAGTAGCATACTGCTAAAAGAACTATATATACACAAACTATCAATACAAAGAAATGGAAGATAACTATCCATCACAACCTAGACAAATGTTTCCCCATCTACACCCTACAAAGTAACCCACTCCTCAAATCAAACTCCCACTCATCACTCCCCACCCCAGAATACACCCAAAGACTTCCCTTCGGATCATACCTCCTCTTAATCTCCACCAAACTCTCATACCCATCTCCATAGAAGTCCCTCTTCCAGGTACTACTAAACGGATTGCCCTCATTCATATAAGCGCCCATATTCGGCGCCCAGTTCCTCCACACCGGCTCCAGCACACTCTCATACCACTCCGCCGCCTCAGCCAACGACGCCGCAGGGTCACCTGTTGCGCTCACGGAGCCGCCATATGCCATGACGTGTGCGTATGCGCTGCGCCACGACGGAAGGACGCTCCCGCGGCGTTGTTCGGGAACGTTAGCGGTGCCGCGGCCGCCCTGGAGGCCGAAGATGAGGAGGGAGCCGGAGCCGGATTGCGAGGCGGAGATTTGTTGCAAGTAGTAGATGAGATCCGACTGGGGGAGGGATGATAGCTCGGATTTGCCCAAGAGGCGGCTTGTGAAGAGGCTGGATGCGCCGGCGGATTGGCTGGCGAGGAAGTTGGGTTTGATGTAGGACCAGTAGGGTTGGGCGGTTGGTGGTGTGAGTTTGATGGTTATTTGGGTTGTGTTGTTGGTGAGTTGGGCGGAGAGTTTGTGGAGAGTGGTGTTCATGGCTTGGACGGTGGTGTTGTAGGCAATTAGGTTGATGATTACAGCTGGACCGGCGAGGACTTCGTCGAGGCCAGTGAAGGTACTTCCTGATTTGCCGGTCGCGGCCATGATGGTTCCTGTGATGCCGGAGTCCATGAGATATGGGATCTGGGATGCTGTTTCGGCGAAGGCGGTCCAGGATGCTAGCTCCGAGGCGTTGGACTTGTTGGATGCGTAGAATGTCAAACCGCCAGTCACGACGTTCTCTAGGATTGGATGCGTTTGGAGGACGAATTCGGTCACTACGCCGAATTGGCCGCCTCCGGCGCCGCGGATGGCCCAGAAGATGTCTTGGTTTTGGGCGTCGTTTGCGGTGAGGATATGGCCCTCCGGGGTGATGACTGTGACTTGGTAGACGTTGTCGGAGGCGAGGCCGTAGTGGCTGGATAGGAGCCCGTGGCCTCCGTTCTGGATCAGGCCGCCTAGGCCTACTGTGGCATCTTCGCCGCCGACGACTGTTCGGTTGTGTTGGATTACGGCTGTGGTATAGACAGTGCCCCAGTTGTTGCCGCCGCCGCAGATTAGCACGTCTGCGGTTTTGTTGGTGCCGGGGAGATGCCAGGTTGGGTTGTGGTGGATGTGCTTGAAGTTGTGGGTCCAGATTGAGAGGGAGTAGGCACCGGTTGATCTTGAGGGGGGAGGTTAGCTGAGCTGATATCATTGAGGGGATGGTGTGATGAGGGTATACGTACCGGCCGTTAAGATCGTGGCCTGTAGATTTCACAACGATGCGAATGTCCCTCTGCGATGCCCATGACATGGCCGTTGCGACCTGCTCTTCGGTGGTGGCGTTGACGATGTATTGGGGCATGCCGCCGATACTGCAGCCCTTGTCTTTGGTGTATCCAGCAGCACCTGGGGGTACGCAGGAGTTGTTGTTGTAGATGGAGTAGTCGTTGCTTTCCGGCCATGCGGCATGGTAGGCTGCGTAGGACCAGTGATCTTTCACCGAGGAGCAGTTGTACGACGAGCTCAGCGGGTTTCCTGCATAGCAGGAAGAGGCAGCAGGGGCAGTTCTAATAAGAGACCCGCCAATAGATTGGTTCAAAGCCGACCACTCATCGACTGAAGGCCAAGCTGCATCACCGGGGGTGGTTTTGCAGTTGGCCGCAGCCAATGCTGGGAGGGCGATGAGTGACAGGAGCTTTGGAAGCATCATCGTCATGATGGTTGGGAGGTGGTTGATTCATTTTTGAACATATGGACGAGTCCAAGGTCTTATATATTCTGTTATAGAACGCGAATACGACTGACTCTCCATGCTGTTGTGATGCTCGGGGATGGTACCTTGGGCCGTGGATATCCTTTATAGGAAATCAAATACGAATACGTAGCGATCTGCTGTTAGTGGAGACAATCCCTGCAACATCCAGGGACACTCCATCAAACCCCACAAATATTCTATTTTGAACGGGTTCCTAGCCAACTGCTGTACCAGGTTGATGTAAATTTGGGAGGCAATGTCCTCATGGTCTGCTCTTTGCTTGTTGCCGGTTGGGTGACGATGTGAAAACTTGGATAACTGGAGAAATCATAACACTCGCACATCGACTCTTACAATGGGTGGAGGTTTCCTCCAATAAAGAATTCTAAAATGACCCGACGCAGTATGCTTCAGGATACGGATACGTTCCGTTGACTGCCGGTTGTGAGGAATAGCAATTAGCAAGTGCCTCGCGGTTTCACGCGTGCCGCCCGCCGATCCCCCTGCAACATCCCTGAACACCAACAGGCATCAACCATGTCCAGGTTCTGCATGAGTCGGACATTCCTGCGCCATTCCCGGGTACAGAGATTAGGCTTCCTATCATGGATACCTACACTCAACACGCCACAATGTCGCAGATTCACCCAAAGACCGCGACTGGGCGACTCCACCCCAATCTACTATCCGCGTCCCATCTCTTACGCATTTGATCCAGCCACTCTAGAATCTCAGTCAAGTTCAACGTCCCCAGCATTCTCATTTCTACGCCCACCAAACCTCGCCCAAGATGCAGAATACCAACATGCCATCTCCCTCAACCCACAAAATCTGAAAGTCCCCTGGCCAACCTCACTCCCCTGCGCTCTGCAGTCCAAATACTGGCGCGAAGCAGAAGCCGCAACAAAAGACTTATTACAGACCCTCTTCCCACCCAACAACAACCCCAAGGGAGAGAAATACATCACTGCAGTGACAGAAGGAGCGGTGTCCTACGCAATTCACCTCTTCCCCTTATGTGATCTAGCTAGAATCAAGCTCTTCTCCAGGACGTTGGTTCTAGCCTTTTTGCATGACGATGCCGTCGATGCGGGGAATCTCAACAATGATGTGGTCTTGATCCCTACAGAAAAGAGCAGCAAACCATCCCACAAAGCATTCAACGTCATCTCAGAGGAAGTCCTCGCAGCAAATCCCGTCAATGGGGCTATTCTCATCGAAGATATCCTATCATGGGGCTCTACATCTCGAAACCACCAGCAAGGACCAACACGTTTCAGCTCTCTGAATGAGTATATCGCCCATGGGTTAGAAGATTTCGGAGCCACGCTTACTCTCCGCTGCGTGGAGTTCTCTATCGCTGATTCTCGTTCTTCTTCGTTGACGGATGTTCAGAGTATCGGCTATCTCAAGTCCCTCTGTGCGAAACATCTGCTCCTTACGAACGACCTGTACTCGTATGCCAAGGAAGTAGCTAGCGGAGATACGGGTCTCAATGCAGTGCAAGTCGTGCAGGATCTCATGGGGGGTTCTGACTCTTCTGCCAAGATGATGGTCCGGATCATGCTACGTGACTTGGAGAGGCAGATGGACGAAGAGTATACTCGACTCATCACAACCGGTAGTACGAATATTACCGAGACGCAATTGAAACACGCGCGAGCAATGATTATCGCTGTGGCAGGGAATATGTTCTTCTCAGCGACATGCGATCGGTATGCCAGGGCTGTGGAGGGTTCGAAATTGGTATAACTTTGTACAAATTTACAATGACTGTAGTCTGGATATAGACACTATACATACTCTGCGAATAAACGCTCAATCATAACCTACTAACTACTACGTCCTCCGTACTACCCTACGTTGCACCTCTCCATCGACAATCCCAACCAACCAACCACACAACCCCCTCCCCTCTCCTGCCAAGCCCATTCCTCGGTTACAACCGACACCAACCCAAAGCAGTTTAGCGCACCCACAAGCGGTTAGATATAAATCCTCCCGTCCCGTCTGCCCCCCCTCCCATCATCCTCCCTTCCCTTTACTTATCTTCTCATCATCGTCGCTTCGCTGCGTGTTGCGTCTGCTATAATGTTATGCGGACGTCAACCTCGACAATTCAACATCGACGACAACTGATAAAAACTATATAGCTATATCTGGGTTATCATCTTCCTGCCTAACGTGTCGCACGAAGCGTGTTATCACCATGAAAAGCAAACCAAAGAAGTGGTATTAAACCCCAGCCACGACAAGTTTCCTCTGAGGCCCTAATCATCCTTGAGCGAGTGTCGTTTGCTGTATGCCTCTTAATACCGATAACAAGTGGATCTGCGGTTCAACTTCATGTTGTTGCAAACCTAGAGCGAGGGGTTCTCTCCCTTTGCTGTGTCTCAGCATGTAGTCGCTGTCCTACATTTCTTGTAATATCTCTCTATTTATCTATCTATCTGTGTATTATTAGGTATATGATGGATAATGTAGATCATCAGTAACTGCCATCGAACGATCGCCGATAACTATCCTCGTTGTTCCAGTACAGCGTGTCATGCTGGACTTCCGGACCTGTGGCTCCGAACTCCCACCCCAATTTGAGCTTCGTCCATTGCATCAGGTGGCTGGCCACTTTGATGTGACCGACGTCGGTTGGGTGCTCTTGCGGGTCGATGTCGTTGTGCTGCAGGACGCCCTTCGTGTCGAAGTAATAGACGAATCCGTCGTCTTGGAAATGCTCGGCCACGCGCTGGATCTCGGAGACGTAGAAGGGGGATTGCACGTAGGTGTCCCCTGAGCGGGTGAAGTTGCCCCAGAGGGACTGGAGGGGTTGTCAGCGGGTGCTTTTCTCGGCTTGGGGTAGGGGAAGAGGGTGTGCATACCATGATAACGATCTGTGCGTTTGGCCATGTTTCGTGCACGCTGGTCACGAGCTCGACGTAGCTGTCGTAGAAGATCGAACCGGGGATGTCGTTTACGGCGCGGTGGTCGTTTGTGCCCAGGTCAATGATGACTAGATCTGCCGCGCGATGGGCACTGAAATCCCACTTCTCGGGCTGGTTTCCGTAGGTCGCGTTCGCACGCACGCCTGCATCGGAGGCGTAGAACCATTGATGTGTCTGATTGAGTTAGAGGCTTGTCTCTGTGTGATATAGAGGAAAACTAACCATGCCGCGCGCCTTGTCCGCGTAGCATTGTTCATCCGTCAAGCAGATACCGGGATACGCCTGTTATGGTTAGATGGCGAATGCAACGTGCAGCGGGAACATACGGTGATCGAGTATTCGACGTCGCCTAGCCCAGCGGCGTAGTTGTATGCCCATGAGGAAAGTCCTTCGTAGGTGCCATATTGTCCCGATGCGAAGCTAAAGCTGTTAGCTGTGAAGTAACGGTGGGAGAAAGGAACGTACGAATCACCGATGATCTCCACAGTCTTGCTGTATTGAGGAACTGTAACAAGCTGTGAATCCGAAGCGACCGAGACACCGGCCAATTGAACTGTGCGAAAGGTCAGTTCCGCTTCTCCATGATGGATCGATGAACTTATCCGTAGCCCCAGTTCGTAACTAGACAATCGTCAGCATGAGTTTCAATGATGAAGAAATGCACTGACCTCTCATCTCAAATGTGTTGTTCTTGGCCAAATCCAACCCAGGGGTCCACGACCCGGCAAATTGATATGTTGAGTTCGCAGTCACATTGGAGAATTGCCAATCCAAACCGTCAATCCTATAAAAGTCAGCAGGAGAAGCCAATTTCCTTACGTGGACCCCTACCGATAGGCCAAAAGGACCCCTTCACTCGTCTGCGGACCGAAGCTTACAGCAAGCTATGCCATGTCAGTTGAAAGCGTTCCAGTATCTCATGACCAACGCTATAATACCTGCTCGCCCGTAAACCCAAGCTTGATACCCGGAAGTCTGTACCTGTTAGTCCGACGTCATCGCCCCGGGAAACCGAATGAGACATACGACCACCCTGAAGAACCAGTCAGTTAGCAACATACACGACCCGAATGATGTAATGAGCAAGTGAGGCTCACAAGACACATATTCACTATCCCACCTCCCCTTATATGCAATCTCCGACGCGTCCGGTTGATAAGTCCGCCAAGAGCCATCATCCAACGAAATAGCCTTAGCCTGGCCAGGGTAGGGATCTTCTCGGACCTGGCCATTCTGCAAAATGGTAGCCGAGGCCTGGAGAGCCCATGATAGTACGTAGATTGGAGAGAGCCGCATCTTTCGATTGGACCGTTCAGGTTGTGTGACGCGCGAGTGTGCCGGGAAGAGGGGCTGCTCCGTTCTTAAGTACGCGGTGGGAAATGACAATTTCCCTGCATAGGTTTTGCTTTTGCTATTTAGCATAGTGTGCTCCCACAGGACAATAAAACTTACGAGGACAGCAATGATCGGCTTCGGATCCACCGTTCCTCGTCGATCAGGAGAGTGAGATCGATCGATCCGTTCGTGGCGCCAAAAGCTTGCCAGGGATCTGTTTCTGCAAGTTCACTCAGATTGGATGGCTCTGCGAGTTAAATTATAAGGTTTTATGCAGGGTGACTTGGTCCTTGGAAGCCGTGAAATCTCTCGAGACTTCATGATCGCATTCCCATCCGCGAGGTCCGCATTAGGACTGAGACAAATAAAGTTGGGGGCCGGGGCGGAAGGTAGGCTGAGCCCAAAACAATGGAACGGCGGGAATCATTTCCTGGGACCAAATAAACAACGATGATTTTCCATTTTCCTTGTCGCGTCAGACGCGACGGAATTGTGGTTGATGTCACTGAAACTGCACCTCAATCACATACTTTGCGACGACAACCCCCTAAGCCTTGGGACAAAACTGCCAGGGTGCAGATGTTCAAAGAAGATTGTGCTTGATGATCTCGCGAGGAAATGCTCAGCCTCAGTCCTAAAACTGCCATTCCTCAATGATTACGTACATTTACTCACAGTTCTAGCTTGTCCGGAAGAGAAATGGTCGAGAAACTTCTGCGTGGTCACGGTCATATCTACCATAAGGGTAGTGGCTTCCTCTCGTAGATTCCCTGTATGCATAGCTGCATCACAGGCGACACCGATTCTATTAGTAAAATGGTCAGTGTTTGTTATAGTGAATCTGTATGTTGGCTTACGCTCCTTTATCATGCGCAGACTGTGATGGGGTCGACATGCATCTGAACATCCGATATTATCAGTCTGACAGACAGGATACGGTCCAAGCAAGGCAGCATTTGTAATTGCACCAAGGACGTGGTAGAAAGGCCTCGCAGTTGATGGTCGAGCGCCTACACCTGCGGCTGTTTCCACATCAATATAAGCCTCATCAACTGATTCACGCTATCGCCAAGCAGGGAACGTTATGAGTAAGCTACTTAGCACCGTAAGCGCATGATGGCAAATCGGCGCTAATCATACTCGGTTCTGCATAGGAGTGAGAAAAAGGATCCAGACCTTCCTCGTCTCAGGTGGGATAGTATGGCTTAAGCCTTGACACCCGAGACGGTCTAGCTTACCGGCTAAAATCTCACATACTATCGACTGATAACGATAGCCGAGGGAGGATTGGGATAGCCCCGACGGACTCCGATACGAGACAAGCATTTGCTGACAGACCATTTTCCCCGACACCTCTGGGGTAATTATTTGGTAGTTTCCCCGGTTTCCCTGTGTTGGTTTTCGGACACCCGAGTCGATTCATCATGGTTCGCCGAATTGTTCCAACTACTCCTATGGCACAATCGCCCATGTCGCCACTTGGCGCAACATATTGTGTCCGTCCTAATTCTGTTTCGATGAATATCCATCGCAGACCACTCGTTGTTGCATCAACAGATGAAGCCAAGGTCACTATAATATATGCCGGCTTGTTAATTCCTGGTGACGGAGAACCTCTGCGCAATGCCGCTCTAGTCATCAGCGATAAAATCATCGCGTTCGTTGGGCCCGAATCCGATATTCCTAAGAAATACCTCCGGTCCACGCAGTCTACTCACCGTGTCCCTGTGCTGATGCCCGGATTGTGGGATTGCCACATGCATTTTGGCGGTGATGACGACTATTACAACGATTATACTTCTGGTCTGGCCACCCATCCAGCATCATCAGGAGCTCGACTAGCCCGTGGTTGCTGGGAAGGATTGCAGAATGGGTATACGTCCTACCGCGACCTGGCCGGATATGGGTGCGAGGTCGCGAAGGCAATTGATGACGGCACGATCGTTGGGCCAAATGTGTACTCGTCCGGCGCTGCTCTTAGTCAAACGGCTGGACACGGCGATATTTTCGCTCTTCCCGCAGGTGAGGTCCTGGGAAATTATGGAGTCACGAACCCTCGGCCTGGATACTGGGGAGCAGGACAGCTATGTATCGCCGATGGCGTGGAGGAAGTCCGACGAGCAGTGCGGTTGCAACTCCGTCGCGGTGCAAAGGTTATCAAAGTTATGGCTTCAGGGGGTGTCATGTCGCGAGACGACAATCCCAACTTTGCACAATTCTCTCCAGAGGAACTCAAGGTGATGGTGGAAGAGGCTGCTCGACAGAACCGGATCGTTTCTGCACATGTACACGGCAAGGCGGGAATCATGGCTGCTATCAAAGCAGGTTGCAAGAGTCTGGAGCATGTGTCTTATGCTGACGAGGAAGTGTGGGAGCTTATGAAAGAAAAGGGAATTCTTTATGTGGCGACGCGCTCAGTTATTGAAATATTTCTCGCTAGCAATGGAGAGGGGTTGGTGAAGGAGTCGTGGGCCAAGTTACAGGCGCTTGCTGATTCGCATTTGAAAGCTTATCAGGGGGCTATCAAGGCGGGTGTTACTATTGCCTTGGGAACTGATACCGCTCCTGGTGGACCTACCGCGCTGGAGTTGCAGTTTGCCGTTGAAAGAGGAGGCATGACACCGTTGGAGGCCATCAAAGCCGCAACTGCAAACGCTCCCTTGTCGGTTGGACCACAGGCACCGTTGACGGGTCAGCTTCGTGAGGGGTACGAGGCAGATGTGATTGCGTTGGAGGAGAATCCATTGGAGGATATCAAAGTCTTCCAAGAACCAAGGGTGATTACCCACGTCTGGAAGGGAGGTAAACTGTTCAAAGGCCCTGGGATTGGTCCGTGGGGGGAAGATGCACGAAATCCTTTTCTGTAGTTTATTATACGATTCAATGGGCATTCCACATTATCTCACTATGAAGCACAAACTTACCAGCCACTTAGTCGCTGTAGCGACTTACCTCAGATTTATGCAATCTTACTCTTTAGCTCCTTATACTAGATGCTGGTGGCTGAATGTGTGTGACACCGATGCTATACATTGCTCTCCAAAAAGATAATGCGCGCCATAGCATATTTAATCAACTATAACCCCTCCTGAGTGCCTCAACATACTTCAAGCGGTCTTAAAAAATTATAAAAAGAAAACTGGAAGGTATGTACTCTACATTGAAAACAAATACAGGCCCACGCTTATGCTCAAAAGCCCTACAGGACCTGCGACTGATATATGACCCGGCTCTTCAATGTCCTGTCTCTGATAGTGATAGTTGAGCCAGGCGAATCCAAACAACAGCCACGACGCAGGCGACTTTGCCACGCGGATACGTTCTACGAGCAGAGATGACAGTCAGCGATGTAGACCGTATAAAAACGTTGGATCGGAAAGAAAACATACCACAAGGTTGCATGAGTCCCAATTCGGGTAGGATAAACAACCCGACAACCACAAGATGGATCATCGTCGCGGTGGACACAGTCCCTGACGAAACACTGTTAGTGTCCATGACGACCACGGTTATGGGTGAGCGAGGCGCAACGTACAGATGGTGACAGCTGCTGCAGTCGTTTCCTGCCAGTCTTCGAGCATATCCTCTCGAATGGAGCGATAAATACACAAGCCGACGTCATTTCCAAAGTCGTCTTGCAGATGCTTCAGCGTTGCGGAGCGGAGCTCCCGGACCCGGCCTAATTGCCAGGAGGTTGCCAGTTTCTCTGCGTATTCTGGCGTCGCTTCATGCTTTCTGATTAGGGTGGTAATGATGTAGTCGCGGACAATATCCGGGCCAGCAGAGTCGACGGGGAATTTTCGAGCCATGATGTTCGATTAAGGGAGAACGCGGAAGGAGAGGAGGAGAACTTGTGGTGTGATGTTGCTGCCTGAAATCGAGGTTGTTCTCAGGTTATATAACCGCTAGCCTTATCACGGGGCCGTGTGGTTAAAGATAAGCGCCTCTCCTTCTCTCGAGCCATGGTCACGCTCTGCTAAGCGCCGTCTTTTTGGTTAGCCAGTCGGTGGTCGGATCATGTTTAGTGTGGATAAATCCTGGCGCATTTTGCTTCTGCCAAATTCGTCTCGATATCGAATGGACTGAAGTGGGGAAAAGGAGAGCGCTTCCATTAGACTGATTAGTGGCCAACGATACTGTTGGTGTGCCTCACTCCGTGCGGACTCCGACATCAAAAGGCCAATGTGAGTGGGTGGTATCTGGGCATCCAAGCGGACTTGCTAACCGAAAGAAGTCTGGTGGGGGGCCGACGGATATTGCGGAACGTCTAAGCTGAATTCGGTATGATGGGCTATGGCGTGCCGAGTTTAGAGCCATCATAGCTACACCTCTCTGCAATGCCTTACCGAAGCTTCTGCGTGATATTGGACTATCCTTGGGATATTTTTTTAAAATTATTTATGACAGCCTTGGACGATGAATAACATTTTGTTGAGCTGGAGCATCAAAATGACATGAGGAATTGATAAGTTATCAGCACTTTTTGAGGTCAGAGTTGTAGGCGAATATATATATGCTATATATTATATATTTGCACGGGCCTAAGAACTTAAAAGAGGAATCTGGCGTGACATCCAAGATCATCAGTTCAACTGTGACCAAGCAGTCTCATCACATAGCTGTCACTTGTTGATAGAAACCAGAAAGACCACACAACATGTTATCATGAAGTCGGCTGTCATCATACGCCAAGGGGGCTTTCCCCCGTCACACCTATCATTGTTGCCATGCGTCTACACGCAAATTACAAATCGGCCCTTGTTGCACGGAGTGGACTTTGACATAACGTAATAGTATAGGTGCGTGCATGATGTCTTCAGCTAGTTGACCCTACCAAGGGTTAGCTACTACCCCCGGAAATTAAGTTTTTCAAGTACTGTTACAATGCAGTAGAATTGCCCATAACGGGAATGAGTTGCGAATAGGTAGCCTGCATTGCGGGACTTTTCTGGTCTCCTGCATTAGATCGCGGCTAGGGAGTAGCTACGGCTGACCAGTAGTATTACATGTGATCCTGCAAGGGCAAATGGATGCGTTGACCGGCTTTCTGATTCGGATGCCTTGAAGGGTCACATACCAATATGCCAGCTTGTGACAGTACAGTGGGTGAGGGATATTCGGAATATTCTCAGAATTATCAGGGTAGTAGAGGAGAGACCGGACCCGTCATGCTACTCTGTAATTATATTACTGCTTTTAGACACAAGCGTCGCCAGAATCCACTGTATTATAGCTATAACAACAGATGACAAGAAACAAAATAACAGAAATATTCAAGCCTCGAAGTTGTTACAGGTTCTAAGCCTCATGAGGCAGTAGTAAGATATACATTCGGCAAGTCCATTGCCTTTATTGAAGCAGTAAAGGGAGGAGTGTTGTGGACCTTGACCATTTCACCTTGTTATTCGTCGCAGGGCTCACGCTGTCCATCGTTGTGTCCCACTTAGACAGCGATGGCAATGGCAGCAGCAACAGCAGCACCACCGAGAGTGTAGCTGAAGCGCTCCACGCTGGCAGCACCGGTGTAGAGGGAAGGAGAGGCAGAGGCGGAGGCAGAGGCAGAGCCGCTGGGAGTGGAGGAGGCAGAAGCAGAGGAGGGAGAGCTAGGGATGACGGGGCTGGAGCTGGTGGAAGCAGCAGCGCTCTCAGTGGTGGAGGCAGCAGTGGTGGCAGCAGTAGTGGCATCGGTAGCAGAGGCAGCGGAGGTAGCACTGGAGGCCTCGGAGGTGGAGCTAGCAGACGAGGCGGACGAGGTGGCCACGTCCTTGTAGGCATCGACACCCTTCTGAATGGCGTCGGTGATACCGGAAGACAAGGAGCTAGCGATGCTAGACAGAGAGGACGGGACCTTGGAGGTGATGGCATCGGCCAGGTTCTTGGAAGCAGTGTACTGCTTCTGCAGTTGAGCGTAGACAGTGGCACCAGCCCCAGCGGACACGAAGTCGGATTTCTTCGAAATCAGATCATCAATGGTGGTCTGCACCTCCTTGGTGAGGTCCTGAACGGGGCCAGTGATGGTGAGAGCATCGGTGGCGCTGAGCTCAGATCCTCCGTTGACAGTAGAGACACCAGAGTTAATCTCCGAAACCAAGGAGGAAGAGGCGGACTCGACTTTGGAGGGGTCGCCTCCAGAGTAAGAGTTGATGGCCGAGTCAAGAGACTGAACTTGGGTGTTAATGTCGGAAAGGACGCTCGTGATGGAAGCAGCGTCACGCTCGACGAGGGTAGGCTCGCGAGCAACCTTGGTGGGGTTGGCCATGACACTGGTGGCCAACAGAGTGAACAAGGCAGCGGAGAACTTCATCTTGACAGTATTAACGACGGTAGTTGAATAGATATTAAGAGTAGTTAATATGTTATTATAAACAAAGCTGGAGATCTGAACGAGTGCTTGAGGCTGAGATTGGCTCTGCTGTACATCTACTCAATGGCCGTGGGTAAGCCTCTTTATATACACCATGGACAGGTTAGAACTCACATGGGAGGGAACTGCGGCCGAGGCGAAAATGTGGGCCAGGGGAAGACTTCCCTGCAATTCCTGGGGTCGACCTAATTAGCGTGCTCGAACCGAGACGTCGAGCCTGGTCCATGATACAAGAATTGGCTCGTTCCTGAAAAGTGCTTTGGTGATCGTCACCGTAATGATTGTTCTGGGCCAATGCGTTTGATTGCAGGGCCGACGCTCATTTTCCTCTTTGAGCGTGGCCGGAACCTTCATGAGGGTTCCCAGTCCCTGGTTTCCTGGCACATCTGGACCCCATCATTGTCATTGCTGGCACGTTCGGTTGCAATGCAGCAATAGCAGTAGATAGAATCGGAGAGAAACTAGTACCTAGCACCTGACCAGCGCAACAAAGTAATCATCGCGAGAAGCAATCAATTTGACTTCGCTGGTAGGAGAACCAGAGCGTGGTGGCGCCACGATGGGCTCTACACCCGGCCCGCCCCCGGATTCTCATTTGTTCGTGAGTGGATGCTAGCTAATGCAGGTCGCCAAGTGTACAGGGAGAAGAGCAGGATAGCGCGTCGGAAGTTCAGGGTCCGCGGGGGAGGAAGTGAGACAATGGAGGCCTAGTGGAAGTTAGCGAAGAGGAACTGTTGGAGAGGCCACTAAACGGTCAACCGAGTGCTACCCTCCGGACGCTAAGCGGAGGCCCACCCTCCCCTACCCCGCACCGCCTAGTCTCAATTTCGAGTCCTCTCGTTGGGCGATCTTCTTCACCTCAACACATTGCGGCAGTACGTCCGCAATCATCAACCCTCGTTCTACCGGCCATGGGTCATCTAGACCAATTGATGTGACGCCTAGATATTACTTTCTCCTCAAGTCAGGAACTGCTTCAATCTTACACAGGAATCTTGCACAACAGTACCAATTTCAGGTAACAGCTGAGACGTTTGTTGATATCCCTTTTCTCCCTATTGACACTCGGGACTAACTCCGTGGCAATTCAAGTAGTGGATGATGAGTGGACTGCAACTGGACTTTGCCTAATATAGATGATTGTCGGTTACACCAGAAAAACCTCGAGACTAGTGGCGCATTCTCTACTGAGCTGAGCTGGCTAGTCGGCCCCAATGCCTGGCATATGCTGAGCTCCCCGGCTAATGCTGGTAGATGGGTCAATTCCTAGACAGTGTCCTACTCCATTGCTTAGATTGCGCCTCCCAATGACTGTCATAACTATAACAGGAACTGTGCCGGACATTATGCCCGCACAATGGAAGCTCATTCGGTTTCTACTTTCGCTGAATCCGGCCCAAATGCAACCCGATCTTCTGGCCTCGAAATCACGATGTGAACAAGAAGAGCTTGGGCATAGATCCATCCCTGTGCGGCACATCTGTCCAATAAGACGACATCGCATCTGCCCGTTCCCCTTCCGGGAACACAGTGGCAAAGTACTTGGCTTAGCTACTACTGCTCCCTCGGATCTCGCTCACCACCTAGCATTGACCTGTGACCAAAGTCGTTGACAAACACTTTTATTTCGCGCCAGCTTGAGAGATTTGGATCCGAGGCTCCGCTCACTGGCATGTAGCACGAGATCTGAGACGCCAGGAGATAGCCTTGGTAGTTTGGGTGCAATTCCGTCTCTCAAAAGTGCCATTAAGGATCTGGGACAGTCCGGCGTAAGGAATCTGTCTTATGATGATGGCAATGTCTCACCCGGGGGAACTTGAATGGCTGACATCAGGTACGATCGGCGCTCTTATCGATGATGGTTGCACAAAGTAGCATTCCAAGTCCAGGTTACGGTCAGCTTGATTTAATGTCTCTCAGTTCGTATGTTAACAATACTGTAATCGTTTAGAACAAATTTATTTCTCAACACATTAATTTCTGGTGGACAAGCATCAAGGGAAAATAAAGTCTGCATCCCTGCAAAGTGGCTCGCAGACGGCCGATCGCAGGATACAGCAGCATTCGTTTTCCCGCAAGGGAGCGATTCATCAGATGTGTTGGCTGTCACGCAATGCTGGCCAATGCTACATGATTCGCATAACCACGCTGCATTAACCATAATGTAGTAGTATAAGGCAAGAGACAAGCACGGTACATGATCTGCCATCTGCTCTCAAAAGCCCTCAACGCCCAGCAATTTTGTTAGGTCTTTCACTCAGAAGACGCTTTCATTCATAATAGTTGTGGCATCCAGCGTCTCATAAGAGATGATCATGCCCGCAAAAGGGCAATTTCCACTTGTTGGCAGATTGTTCTCAAAAAGTGGGCTCCCGCACCATAAGCAGGATTGAGTTACCGTTTGACTTCAGTTGGATGGAAAACTTAAAATCGATCGCTCAGTTCGAAAACTTGGAAGCGAATAGGCTACATTCATCCAAGTATCTGTATGCTTTCTATTTCTGATGGCAGAGCCTCTTGTGGTTTGACTTTCCCGTGGTGATCCTACCTGCTTATATTGGATGGCGCAGTATGTGGTTGAGAGATTTCTGGTTCTGAACCTGACGATCGTCATCTTGAAACCGGTAGTAGATTGCCCGGAAACTACAGACTCATTTGACGGTTTTCTCTGCTTGCTAGGCGTTTTCATCTTACTTCAAAGTTGTTTGTCCACATTCCTCGATCTTAAACATCGAAATTGACTTTTTCGCGATGTTTCTTCTTCACGTTTCATATAAACATGTTTTCAATTCCCTATATTTAGACGACCAATGAGACACATTGCGATCGATTCATCCCGGATAGCTGTTAGAAGGCTATATACTATCCAAATTCCTCTCCACCGCTGTGCACGCTTGGGAGATTGCATCCTTCAGAAAAATGCATATGAAAGAGGCTTTGGTCTTCTCTATGAACATTCTTTGCGTCTCGTTCTTGCGTTACTATCGACACGTTGATAGCCTGGTTTTCCTCCCTCCTCTCTCATCCCAATACTAATATGGTTCTGACACAGCAATAAAGTGAGTTCTCTCTGCATATATAGTCAGCTTTGAAACAGTGCACCTCCAAGTAAACATTCGACCCTTTACTGTTGCCCACTGGTGATCAGAGATGAAGGAAGAAACTCATCGGCAACTTGTTGCTGCCTGCCCACACAAGGAATGGGGATCACCGCAGGTGCTACACCTCTGCAGGTGTCAATGTCGGCATTACTTCCCACACCGGATTGCCATTCCAACCCTTTCTTTCGGGTATGGTTGTACAAATCACTGGACGGAGAGGTGGGAGACACATACACCACCTGCTGAAACGCTCCGACAGAGTTTCCCAACGGCGGTGCACTCTATGAAGTTCACGTGATGAAAGCTACAACAGGTTGTTGGCATGCGGTATAGTTTGTATATGACCAAAGGGTGCTAGTAACTCACCAAGTAAGCGAGTTAGAGTAAGTTGTAAGTCGCCGGGTTTAGTAGTTTATGCCATATAACTGTTATGGTGATTTATCAGCTTCAAACGTATTAAGAACAATACAACCACCAACTTCTATGGGTGCTACACAATTACCACTACTAAGCTTGAGGGTCGCAGTTCGAATTCTGTGAGATAATAATTGCGATACCAGGTAGTAAAATTCACGTATACAAGATTTCAGCTTCTGTGCCTGCGCATCACATTGCTTTGTGTATCAGTGGAGACACCACAAAGGTCTGATTATGCTTTATTCTGGGCCATTTTTGTAATGACCAGTGGGAGTTGATATACAAGTCATGCATTACTGTGTTAGTGTGAATCGTAAGGATTAAAGGGCATCAATGTGTACTTGACGCCTGACTCTTAGGTGATTTAAGATTGAACTATTACAGCGCAGTCAGTAGTAACGCCCGAGTGACCGGTGACCCAAATAAACTGGTTTACAATGACTTTACTACTAATACCACAGGTTGTAGACAGCACCATTAAACACCATTTAAGACTAATAATGCACCAAATCATAGTACACTTGAAAGTAAAGTGCTGAGAAACCTCTTTCTATCCACCCGACACTTTCTTCACTCTATAGTAATAAGCGGGCACTTCCCTTTCGAAGCAACTTACAAAATAGGCTTAGCGCCGCATGTGCTGTTTATCGACCCCACTACATACTTCTGCTCCCTTGTATCGCTCACACCCATCTCGCCATATCATCGTCGCCTACCTCCTAACTGAACTCTTCTTCCTTAATCTAAGACTTTCACTCAAACGGCTACACAATGGCGGGTGCTAAGGAAACATCTACTACACCCCAGCAAAGAAAACGAGCTCCCAAAGGACGTCGTACTACTGGCCCTGTTGCCGTCGGCGGCAATAACAGTGTTGCAGGACAGGAGAATACCTCACCGCAGAATAAGACCGGTAAAAAATCCAAGAAAAGCAAGGATAAGAGACGGGGACGGGGACGGGACAAGATGGTGCCCTCCGAGCCTGCAGAAAGTGTTGACCCTGTCAAAAAGACATCGCGGAGAGAGAATAGGTAAGGATCCGTTCTATGGGTAGCCAGGAGCATAGCACTGATGCTTTCGATATAGGCCTTTATCTGCCACTTTAAGGGTGGGGTCATCGCTAGCTGGCTCTCCTAATGAGCTGTCAGCCACCCAAATGCAAAGTTTCCTTGAAGCTGGCCTAGCCATGATCGACGAGTCACCGGACACACGTAGGACATTTGTTGAAAGTCTGGCCACCGAGTCTGGTCTTCGCAAAGTTCGACAGATAGTTGAGACTCCATTCGCAATGACTTACAGCGTTCTGAAGCCTATGTTTGATCCACATTGTATATTGTTCCTTCGACTGGTCTCTCACAATGAGCTACTATCGTCACTTATACTTGAGAAGGCCGTGGGGACAATCTACAATGTCATATACGGTCCCGGTGGTCGAAGGGCAGTTGGTTTCTTCACAAGAATGACAGACTTTCTCACCCAGATCAAAACCGATGGCAGACATCAGAATTCTGTCCAGTTTGGTGCTGCGCGAAGCGAAGTGTTGTCTCTAGTTTCGAGGGTACTTCTCAGTACTTTGACCTTGAACCACGAGGCTGCAATACAGGTAGATTTCAGGAGCATTGCTGGCAGGATTTACGACTGCTGTCATGCCGATAACACTGACGCCGGGGCCGGCGACGACAGCTTGCAGTGGGCATACGAGAACATACTCAAGATTCAAGACGTCCTTGCTATGGGGGACTCTATTTCTATATCACAAAAGCCCGAAAATTTGCAAACCATCAGAACCAATCCAAAGGGCAGCACGAGGCATATTGTTGACCTCCCCGGCGAACTGTCTGAGCTTGGCCCTCGTCATGACAATGACAAATCGGCCATCTCAGATATTCAGATCCTGCCTACTAAATCAGAGATACTGAATGCTGACCGACCTGAGTTTCTCCCCGCACGGTGCGCT